TCTGCTATATGTTTCTTTTCTCCCATCTTAGCTCTGTTGGGATTGTCAGACTCTAACTCCACCTCACTATCCCTGTGCGTTGCACCACTTAGTAGTTGTCTAGCTGAACACAACAAACATGCAGACCGTGGATTTGAGCGATCCTCTGTTCCATGCACACCACTGCTTATCAAGGGAATAGTTCCTGAGAAGAGCCCAGGAGCAAACAAAGGTATTGTTCAGTGGGCCAGTTGGGGACTATGGATTGACAGTTGAGAGGCACCTGAAGGGATCCTGATGCAAAGCAGGAAATACTGTATGGGTTTAATGTATGGGTTAAATGCGTAAGGTCAAGTTGAAGAGATATATTTGTTTTTAAATGTTTGTTTAACAATAAGATCTCAGCAAGGTTTCATAGGGATACTTTCCTTTTGTGCATAGACACCCAATTTCAAAGTTGTTTTCCATTGCAAAGGACAATGAAAATAAAATATTTTGAAAAGTTCAGCTCAAAATGAAAGAAGTTCGTTTTCTGTAATTTAAATTCTCTGGCAAAACCAGAAGTATTAAAATATTATTAAAAAAATACTGCAACATAGCAAGACTTTTAATTTGTTTTCTGCTTAATTTTTGTGAAATATTACTGCCTTCAGTTTGGTAATTCAGCGTTGAAAAAAATGTTCTGTTGGATAATTGCCCGTAAGATGTGTTCTTAGCCCTGCTTCAGATCTTCAAGTAAGTCCAAAACTGTGAACTATCAGACCTCACCATCTACTCCATCAAGTTCTGTTTGTGTAGCTGCCATTTTGGGTAGATGTTCATCTTTACAGCATTCTCACAATCCTGTGACTTAAATGTTCTGGAAGACCTGAATTTAGCTTCTAATTTTTTATGAAATTAATATAATTTTTGAAAGATTAATGGGATTGACCTTTGAACCTTTATCTGTGTGCTTTCTTAATTGTTTCTTATTTAGAAAAAGGGATTTGTCTTGCAGGAACTGTTTTACAATTTCTTGTGTGATTCAGACTTCTCTTTCTGTTCATTCGATATCACACTCCAGTGCCCTCATTCCCTGTCTGATAAGTGATGCAGATGACTTTTTTTTTTTTGTACCAACAGGTACATAAATATGACTTGCCTACTTGTATTCTATTATCAGTTGTACAGAACTTACTATACAAAATCAGAGAGGTCAAAGCTTTAACAACTGAACTACCTATGGGAGATTTTATAGGAGAGTATTTACCTATTCTAATATTTTTCTTCTCCTGGGGAGGTAAAAGTTCACCTTTACTAAGTCTGATGTGCTAGCTTTACTACTGTCAGAATAATCTCAATGAATTTCTTCATTTGTAAATCAGACTTTGAATCCAGAAGACAATACAGCTTTTAGAAGTCTGTCTTTTGGGGTTTATTTTATGACCAGCATATCTGGTCAGCCACTGTCCAAGACAATTAGAGAGAAATGGTTGTCTGTGTGTGCTTCTCATTGTTATTCACCGGCAGGATAGTCATCAGAGGGTCACATTAAAGTTCATTCAATCAAAGCCGTGGCAGTAGCAATAGTCCGCCTCAGGTCAGTTCTGTCTCTTGGGATTTGTAGGGCACTACCTGAAGTTATTTGCGTAATTTTATGTAGCATTAGTGCCTCGATACTTTGTAGCAAAGATTTCAAAGGCAACAAATCTGTATCTGGTGTTCTACCCCAACGACAATCCAATTATCTTTCTATTGTAATGGTTTGTATGTATCCTCTGGTATCTTCTAAGTTCATTTTCACTTAACTGTGATATATATGTAATGTGTATTGTTATCTTTATGTTAGTGGTTATAATTAGGTTTTGTATTTCTCCATTTGTGTGGTTATTTGTTTATGTACTTGTAATCATCATGGGAACCTCTGCCTTTTACTTTTGAGATAATCTTTAAAAGTGCTCCTTTGTGCTGCAATAGATGTTTAAGTTTGGGTGAGATAAATCACAGCCAAGAAGTATCTGCTTTTCTTACTTGAGAGTAAAGGGATCCTAGGTAACCCATATCTATATCTAAATTGTTAGTTTGGATGAATTCAAACTATGGCTTCACTTTTTTTATCTATACTTATATATAGATATGCTTACATACATATTTGTGCAAACGCACAGATAGATAGGTATATGTATATTAAGCCCAAACCAGTTCTGTTATCTCTGCAAGTGATACTGGAATGGAAGTTTTTATGAGGCTATTGTACCAAAGTAGTCTTAATTTCTAATGTACGAGTAAGTTTTACATGATGTACCTTCCCAGATATTCTGAAGAAGGGGTACCCAAGAGGTAATTTTTCAGCCTTGAGGGGGAAAAAGAGGCATGAAAACTCGCAGCTACGAAGAATGTTCTGATTAGGAACACAGGAAGTCTCTATACTGATAATTATTCCTCTCAAAGCCAAATTTCTAAACTTAAACTGGTGTTTTGGTATCAAACCTTAGATACAAATGATGAGATGATAATCTAGATGTAATTTCTGGGGTGTTTCTATTTTGGAGATTCTAAAGAGTGTGAAACATTCTTATTTCTTGGAAGGGATGTTATTTAAAATACTAGAAATGGAAATGTATATAACAAACTGGTTCAAAAAGCATTTTAATGGGAATTACTAAAAAGGTAGATATATGAGGTACCACTTCATGGAGGGAGAACTCTAAGAAACTAAATAGGAAAGCAAAATAATAAACAAAAAAGAAAAAGCAACAAAAAAGTATTGTTTACCATTAAAGAGGAGGAATGAATTTGTAAATAAAAAGACAAAATCAGAGAGTGTTCAAGAAGGGGGAAAAGACATTCTGGCTTGATTTCTGAAAATTTTAAGCAAGGAAAATTCAGGCAATGTTCTCCAAAATGATCAAGATAGATAAAAATGGATGAGAAACAAATACTAGATAAACCTCTTGACGACTGCAGACATGATTAGGTGATAACAGGATTTTTTCAGAAGACAGAATAAAGTTCTTAGTGTGTTGTGCAACACACTGAAGAGCTTTATCAAGATGTTCTGAAGTCAAAGAACTCAGTCATGACAACAGACAGAATGATGAGAGATTTAGATTACTTCCTATTAGACCATATGTAATTTGTAATTTTTAATTTTGAGACAGAACATACTGGAGATGAGGATGAGGAAATACTCTCTTGTGTGGTTTAGGGATGCATTCGAAGTACTTTTTTGAGTAATTGCTCCTGTTTGTTCCAAACAATGCAAGCAACTCATAGATGATAGAATTTATAGTAGAGAAATTAGTCCTTTTTGAAAGTTGGACTATCCCCGATTCTTCCTGCAGATAACAGAAGAGAATTTAACTGCATCTTTTGATCCAAGTGTTTTTATACGATATCATAGTTTTAAAACACTTAGAAAAGATCTGGACTTTGAGTGAGATCGTGCCTGTATTGAAATCAGGTTTTTTTCCCCAGTTCGTTTTTGTGTGGTGCTTCATACCCAGGAGTAAGAGGTTTGTTTCTTTCTTTCTTTCTTTCTTTTCCTCCTTTTCTGTCTTTGTTGAGCAAAGCGTACCAATTGCAGAACTCCCAAAAGCAAAGCAGTTCTGTTCACACATCTAGCTTAACCAAACAATCTCTTACCTGCTGCAAGACTTGTGGTTCTTAACTCCTTCTTTACGCAACTACAAAAAAATTCTTTTAAGAACCGGCTGTTTCGCTTACGTTCATTTAACAGCCACCAAGACGGTAACTAGCCAACCAAGACTGTAGTGGAATTTTAGCTAATTATTCCCGTTTACATCTGACATGAGCAGAGTTTGGAAAACAAATTCATTTAGTTTAGCCATCAATATATTTAGCTGTGAAATATATAGGTTCATGCTGTACTTTATCTCATAGATTCTTCAGCATCATGTAGGGAATATATATTTCAAATCCCCCTTAGGGACAAACAGTATGATAAGAGTTGTCGGGTAAGTTTTAGGTCTCTACAGTTTTGGAATAATGCAGAGATTTTTTTTGTGGAATTTTTTTTTAAAGGTGCTTTTCTGAGAGAAAGAGTTGTCAGGTAAGTTTTAGGTCTCTACTCCAAATTAATACAGTTTTGGAATAATGCAGAGATTTTTTTTGTGGAATTTTTTTTTTAAAGGTGCTTTTCTGAGAGAAATAACTCTAATTCTGTAGACGCTCTCATTCTGTGATTTTAAATTGTGAATAATATATTTGTTGGTAATTTTGTAATGCTACTTAGATTTGGGACTTGCAGTGTTCTTATAAATTTTAAGGATAGTGTCTATTCATATAGCTGTCTGAGATGATAAAAGAGTGGGAACTAAATGTGGATTTTTTTCTTCAGATCATAAAGGAGATCTATGACTTTGAGTCTCCCCTGCTTTCCACATTTGTTCTGCGAGCAATACCTTGGTGAACTGTCTTTTTCAGGGCAAGGTGTAAAATTTCAATTTGTCCTTAATTTCTAACACTGATAAGGTACTAAAACTGGCAATATACATGAAAACTCAGAGCCTTTCTTGTTAGTCTTACTTTGAACGTTTAAAATGGTATGAATTAATGGATTGTGTTTGCAGAGTGTTCTGTTTGGTTCTTCGTCTCAATCACTGCAGTTGCTACCTTAGACCTCTTCTGAAAAAGCTCTCGTTGCCCTTTTGGGTCTTAGTAGCTCAGATTAATGCTTCTCCAGCAGTGACTGTGTGCTTTTTTTTTTTTTGCTCACTCCAGCTTTTTTCTCTTGACTAGCCAATGTCTTATCCTGATTTTGCATCAGTTTTATTGAACTGAATTTTGGTTTTGCATGCAGAAATGGAAGTAATTTATTGTGGTTTTGCTAAAAAAAGTTTTCACTTCTGCCTAATTTGTAAGGTTATCATTTTCCCCTTATATTTCTTTGAGTGGACGCGTAGGAGAACTTGGTGGTATTTGAGTGGTGGAAATACAAATAGCTCTTCATTTTCATTATATAGTTACTGCGGAAAGCTGATGATAATCTAACATTTTGATTGTAATTTTTGTTTTTAAAGGGCGTTATGAGGAGGTGTACGATAACCAGCTTAACTTGGCCTACTGTTTCAATGACCCTGACGACAAATGGTTAAGTGATTACTTTTATGAGCAATGCTTTAACACTGCTCAACTAATAAAAATTGATGGTGGGAAAAGAGAGGCACAAGCACATGCAAATATGGGCTTCATCAATGAGGAACAAGGTAAGTCGCTGAGATCATAAAGCTACATTGTATCAGCACTGAGACAGTCATATTTGGCAATTTGTGTTTCATCACAGGGCACAGTATTTCAATGTTAAATTGATTTGCAACCATAATTTAAAAGAAGTTTTAAAACTGTTGAAATTTTAATTTTTGGAGCAGTGAATAGGAAGAGAGAGAAGTCTGTAATTATTCATAGACCTGTTTCCTCTGACGTTCCGTTTACAGTTGAAAGTACTCCATCAGATGAAAAACAAAACAGAAGTTTAAAGGAAGTATTTGTTTAGCACAAAGGTTCTTTGGGTTTGACCTTCTTTCCTTTTGCTTGTTTTTGACAAGAGACTGGTAATGCTGCTTCAGGCCACAGGTGTTTGAGTAGGATGACATCTGTAGTTACACAAACTGGGCTGATTTAAAAGAAGTATGAACACGTAATTCAGTTTAATCCTGCCTTCAATTTACACTTGGATAAAACAGCCTGTATTTTTGTATTCTTTTATAAAACTACCTGCTGGTTCTCTTGACTGAAAAAAAACACCCTGTTTGTTTGTACGTGACTACCACATTGGTGTTTGCTTCAGATTTATACCTTACCACAAGCTCTATTTCTCCATTCCTGTATCTGTATCCTTAAACTGTGAATCTCTGAAACTAGAGAAGATATTAATACAAGTAGCTAGAATCATAGAACAGCCCAGGCTCGAAGGGACCTTGAAAGATCATCTGGTCCAACCTTTCATGGGAAAGGGGACCTAGATGAGATTAGTTTAGCACCCTGTTCAATTGCATCTTGAAAACCTCCAGTGATGGGGACTCTACCACATCCCTGGGGAGGCTGTTGCAGTGAATGATTGTTCTCACTGTACAAAATATTACTTTCTTGTATCAAGATTAACTTTGTTTCCATGTTTAAAAACATACATTACCTTTCACGGCAAGGGGTTTGTGTGTGTATGGTGGTCTGCGTATAAAAAAAGGTGGTTTCCTATGTTTATATAAAATCCTTTCATGTTGTGGGAAGACAAGCAGTGAGTGAGCCTCAAGTAACTGAATACAACCTATCTTCCAAGTGTACTGGATGCCTAACCACTGCTTCAAATATATGTGATTTGTAGTCATTGTGTTTTTGGGTTTAAGTTTGACGTTGTGGGTTGAAACCATTCCAACTTTGAGCTCAGCTTGTGGCTGGTTTCTCAAATAGAATGGCTTTTCTTAGAAAAAAGAAGATTCGCAGAAGTTGAAATATTTTGTGGGAATAGTGCAATTCCAGTAAATCTCTGACAGAATGTGTTTGTTTTGAAAGAAGGCCTAATTTCCCAGCAAAAATCTGGATGTAAAACAAAACCTGCAGTCTTTTTTTTTAATTGAAAGGTTATTGTCCTGTTTTTTCCCCATGTTCTCTAAAAGCTGAAACATCACACCTTTTTTAATATTTCCTCATATTTTCTAGCCTACTGCTCATTGACACTGTTTTCCTATCTGAACTGCTGCCATATCTTTATTGTCTGCAACACCTAGAGCTGGATTCAGTTTTAAAATTTTAGTTCATACCAATGATCAATAAAATGTAAGGATTACTTTTCTTGCACAGTGTCTTTTCATTTGTGTTTTTAGGCATCACATCTACTTTCATTATTTCAGCATAAATTACGTACTCATATTCAGTTCATGACCTTCAGTAATCTCTCAATTCTTTTCTAAAGAACTATTTACTAGCTATTCTACTCACCATTCTGAGATCACCAGTTAGTTCTGCCTAAATGCAATATGTTTTCTTTTTACACTGAGTAGCATCCTGTGTCTCGTAGGCTGTTTCCAGAAATTGTCAAAATTGTTTTGAATTCTGACGTTGCCCTTCAACGTACTTTCTTCTCTTCCTAGTTTGGTATCATTTGAACATTTAGAAAGCATTTTTCTATCCTGTAATCTGGATCTTTAATGAAAATACTAAATAGTAAACTGGGCCTAGGACAAGCACCTGTGGAACCTCATCATATACCTTTTTCCATACTGACGGTGAACTACTGATACCCAATGTCCCTCTAGAATTTCCTAACCAATTTGTGCTCACCTAACAATAGTTGCAGGTGAACTATGCTTCCCTGATGCTTTACAAGAAAGTTCTATGACAGTGAGAAAGAATTTACTAACTTAAATAGAAGACTGGTTTGATGATATTTGCTCTTGATATATTGGTCTTGGCTCTAATATTTTCATGTTTTCTCTAGATGCTTGGGAATAATCTGTTTGACTATTTATTCCAGTATTGTTCTAGGAATTGAAGTTAAGCTAAATCCGGTTTCCCAGTAGATAAGATAGCGCTTGCTTAAAGCCCAGCCAGTCACAACCAAGTCATCTTCATTTTGAGTGGAAAGTTCTTAGTTAAGTTATCTGTCTGATACGCAGTAGAATAAAAGTGTTGAAGTTGCTGGATTTTTTGCAACCTTTTCACTTGGTCCTTCAGTTATTAAAAAATAGATTTGTAAGGAGGTGCATAAAAGCAAACATCCCTACCTATTTGTAACTTCAAAGGCTCATACTGAGTGTGATTCACTACTGTTATCCAACCACTGCCTAAAAAAACCTATTTCCTACTTTTATGATGTGTTAAGCAAAAGTTGTTGAATACTGAAATAACTTTGAAGCCCATTAAAAAGGCACACAAGCAAAGTTCTGAAATACACTTAGAGATGCTCAGAGGAGGGGAAAATCTCATTTTCCTGCTGTAAAATATTAGAAACTTCCAGGAGAGAGGCTTCTTATTAACATTGGTAAGGAGAGATAAAGCAAGGTGCGATTTCACTGCCCAAGGTAAAGCTCCGTTGAATCTGTAGAATCTGTCTTTTGCAAATATTTTCTTTCCATAGAGAGAAGTGAAAAATTAAGAAGCTGAGAGAGTAAGCATAGGATTTGCTTTGAGGGACCACAAAGAAAAAGACAGCAGATGTATTCCATGCACTTTTTTTTTTCAGCAGGTGAAAAATTAAATCACAAATTCTGATTGCAGAAAAATTGTAAGAGCAGATGTTGAGTTGGCATTGTATAAAATTGCATGAGTATTAATGGTGTTATAAATAAAATTCTAAACATGCTTTTTTTGATATTAGAACAGATAGAAAGCTTGTAAATTAAATGGTCGTCTCTTGTTCAGTTATTTATAATGCTATAATCTAATTTGTTTGTGAACTGAATGAGTCATATATCCCCATAGGAAGTAGGCATCTACGTACATACAGGAATAGATACACATGTACAGACATGTATGTGTGCATTAATATATATAGGATTATGTATGTGTACCTATATAAATACAGGGATATATGTGTAGGTGTGTGAATGATGCCTAACACTGACATGATACTTTCACCTGATTTAAATTCTCATATCTATATTAACTGCATTGATTAATAGTGCAGCCAGGAAGATAGGAGAATTTACAAAAATGAGAAGTTAGTCTTATGGATACCCATGTGTGCGTCCTTTTAGATGTAGATATCTTGTACCAGTTCTTTTCAGTTCTCTCACTCAATGGTGTATTTTTTATTACTTGTGAACGGAAGCTGTCTATATATGCTTAGGACTGATTGCTTGGGAGTATAAAGTTAAATATGTACTTGCAAGGATTGTTGTTTGCCTTGGAAGCAAATCAATAAATTTGCTGGGTAATTTTTGTGTAATCAAATCTAAAGTTCTTTGACTTTCAGCCTGGTCCCTGTCCTAAAGGCTGGATATAATCTGATGTTCATTAATCTTCAAAGCTAAATATTTGAGGTGTTGGCAGTGTAGACTTCAGTCATGATATTTGGATGCAGGCGATTAGTGGCTGTCAGTACATAAGGGAAAGAAAACAATAATAATAGAGTAGCCTGCTACAGACACAAATGGAACACTCTCTTTGGAGCAAACGTGATTTTAGTGGCAGCTCCTTGCAGAATGAGATTTTTAACCTCGTCTTTAAAAACCTCTGTTTGTAAAATAAGGTCTCTGTTTACATTACCCAAATGAGATGCTACTCATTGATTATTGTAGGAGTGTTCAGGTTATGATCCTGTTCAATTAACTGTGCTCACCCCATAGTTTGTCTTTCCTCAGGGGGCTGATAATAAATAGTTTTATTAGTTTGGTTGCGGGTCATTTTCTCATATAGATATTCAACATGCCGATATTTTTTCAATGTGTATAAAATGACAAAGTCATATTTTAATTTTTTTTCCTTCACATTGAATCCAGCATTACTTATCATCCAAGTAAGCACAGGCTTTGTGATAGAATCTCAGCTAAGAAAAATTAATTTTAAAAATATTTTTATTCCTGTGCTTTGAATGCATTTTTAGAAGTCATATCAGTCATTATAAATGTGTGCATTTTTCTGCATATCAGAGAATGAGAAGATTTTCATAGTCTGTGATAGGTTTATTATATTAGCATAAATCTGCTAATTAATTGTGAACTTCAGGCTTACACTGTTGTATCCTGCAGAAGAAACACAGTCTGACTGTATTGATAAACATAATGGCTAGTGCTAGGTTGTGTAGGTTCTTACACTGCCAGCGCTCATCGTTACAATATTTGAGTGCTTTCTGTTTTATATAAAGTGGTTAACATCTATCATGCATGAAATGATGTAGACCTTAAATATATGCATCCCAGAGGTTTGTTAACTTATATCAGTAACAAAAGCAGTCCAAGGGAAACAAGGAATTTGTACTTGTAGGAGCTATTTGCTTGAAACAGGTTATAAAAAAAATTAGATATAATATACTTCTGTATTACTCAAAAGCATAATAAAAGTAGATATCTGAAAGTGTACATGTTCTAAAAGCAGCCATCAAGGCCACTGCAAGTAACACAAGTGTTTGTCTAAATATGTGCGTATATAGATGTGTATGTATGTGCAGGTATATATACGTACACATCTGTATACAGATATACCTATGTATATGTATGTACACACACATTCAAATATAGCCAGTGCTTTAAAGGCAGTACTTCAGGTACCA